CGAACCAGACAAGGATGCCCACTTTCACCACTCTTATTTAACATAATACTGCAAGTCCTAGCCAGAACAACTGGGTAAGAAAAAGAAATAGAAGGGATACAAATTGGAAAGGAGTAAGTGAAACTGTCACTATGCAGATGACATGATTCTATTATATATAGAAAACTCTAGAATCCACCAGAAAATTTATAGAAATAAAGGAATATGGTAAGGTTGCAGGATACAATATCAACATACAAAAATCATTCGCATTTCTATACACTAACAATGAAGTAGCAGAAAGAGAAATTAAGTATACAATCCCATTTACAATTGCAACAGAAAGAATAAAATACCTAACAATAAATTTAACCAAAAAGGTGAAAGAGCAGTAAACTGAGAACTATAAAACATTGTCAAAAGAAATTGAAGAAGACACAAAGAAATGGAAAGATATCCTGTGCTCATGATTGGAAGAATAAATATAGTTAAAATGTCCATATTTCCTCATGCAATCTACAGATTCAATGCAATCCCTATCAAAGTTCCAACTACATTTTTCACAGAAATAAAACAAAGAAGCCTAAAATTTATATGGAACAAGATAAGACCCAAAAGAGCCAAAGGAATACTGAGAAAAAAGAACAAAGCTGGAGGCATCACAATCCCTGATTTCAAAATATACTACAAAGCCATAGTAACCAAAACAGCATGGTACTGGCACAAAAAGAGACACAAATCAATGGAACAGAATTGAGAGCCCAGAAAGAAACCCACACTTCTATGGGCAGCTAATTTTCAACAAAGGAGCCAAGAACATACAATGGAGAAAGGAGAGTCTCTTCAATAAATGGTGCTGGGAAAACTGGGCAGGCACATGCAAAAGAATGAAAGTAGACCCTTATCTTAGACCATTCACAAAAATTAACTCAAAATGGATTAAAGAGCTGAATGTAACACCTGAAACCATAAAACTTCTAGAAGTAAACACAGGCAGTACGCTCTTCAACATGGGTCTTGGAGCATATTTTCAAATACCATGTCTGATCAGGCAAAGGAACCAATAGAAAAAAAAAACAAATGTGACCACATCAAACTGAAAAGCTTCTGCACAGCAAAGGAAACCATCAACAAAACGAGAAGGCAACCTAACAATTGGGAGAAGATATTTGCAAACCCACATCTGATAAGCAGTTAATATTCAAAATATATAAAGAACTCACACACCTCAACAACAAAAAACTAACAACCCAATTTAAAAATGGGCAAAAGATCTGAACAAACATTTTTTGAAAAAAGACAACAGGCACATGAAAAGATGTTCAACATCACTAATTACTGGGAAATCCACATCAACACTATGCTGAAATACCACCTCATGCCCTTCAGAATGGCTATAATTAACAAGACAAGAAATAGCAAGTGTAGGAGAGTATGTGGAGAAAAGGGAACTCTCATACTCTGCTGGTAGGAGTGCAAACTGGTGCAGCCACTATGAAAAACAGTATGGAGATTCCTCAAAAGATTAAGAATAGAACTACCACATGATCCAGCTATTCCACTGTTGGGCATTTATCCAAAGATCATGAAAACATGAATGCATAAAGATATATGTGCCCCTGTGTTCATCACAGCATTAGTCACAATAGCCAAGACTTAGAAACAACATAGGTGCCCATGAAGGGACGAATGGATAAAGCAGATGTGGTATATATACAGAATGGAATACTACTCAGCCATAATGAAAGATGAAATCTTGCCATTTGCGACAACATGGATGGACTTTGATGGTCTTATGCTGAGTGAAATAAGTCAGAGTGACAAAGTCAAATACCGTATGATCTCACTCATAAATAGAAGAAACAAAACAACAACAATCAATCACATAGAGACACAAATTGGATGAGTGGTTACCAGAAGGGAAGGGGGGGGCAGGGTGAAAGCCGTGATTAGGCACATGTGTATGATGATGGATTGTAATTAGTCTTTGGGTGGTGAATATGATGTAAACTACACAGAAATCAAACTATGATGAGTACACCTGAAATTTATATAACGTTATAAACCAATGGTACCTCAATTAAGAAAAAAAACAAATTTAAAAAACACAAAACACTTAAAAAAATGATACACAAAATTTCTGCATTTTGAAAAGAGAAGTGTTAGCAAATATTGTTCCCTAGGTAAAGAAACTCAGAGGAGGGGCTTGGGGGTGATATAGGCTGATGACTGTAATATAATTTGAAATACAGCCCAAAACAAGATGGATTAATGAAGACAAAGAGAGAGATTGAGAAAGATGACATGGTCAGATAATTTCAAAATGAAGGTAGTGCGTATAGGGTTTGCTCATTGTAAACCATTTTCACTTTGCTGTAGGTTTGAAAATTCCCGCAATAAAAGGATGGAAGAAAACCAAAGAACCAAATGAGGAGAATAAAGCTGTGGATGCAGCCAAGCAGACGGCATGTACACACTGGGGGACAGGTGACCATGGAGTGGGACAGACTGAGGGCTCTGGGAAGCCACAGGGGCCAGTCGAGCAGGAAAGGGCCTGTGGGTGAGGTGCCTTGAGTGTAAGCTCTCAAAGAATGGGTGGCCGGGACCCCGCAAGGCCAAGGAAGGGTCGCAAGAAGCCCAGCCCCTCCCTCCCACGGCACCTCACAGCAGGGAGAACCTCGGAGGGGGCCATTGTCCAGCTAAGGGGCCTCCGACAGCCAGCCGGCCTGGGGTTAGGGAAGTGGCCTTCTCAGCACCCTCGGGCCCTGGGCAGAGGACAGAATGGAGTGCAGACCTGGGGACAGGGAGGCCAGCAGAGGCCTCAGCCTTGCCCTGAGTGAGCCCCAGAGGCTGAAGAGGCTGCATGCGTAGCACTCCCTCCCGCCTGCTTCCTCAGGCCCCCTGGCCCTCTGACGGATTCAGGATGACAGCCTGTGAAACAGCTCCTTCTATTCCATTTAGGGTCCACGTCCCTGCCTTGTGCTTTCCCTCCAAGGGACTGTCACGCTTCTGACAAGACAGCAACTGATTAAAAGGGCAGAGCAGGGACGCTGACCATGCTGGCAGAGGGTGTGCAGCGGGCACCTGTCACCTCAGCTGGGCTGCCACATGGGAGGAATGACAACTCGCATCCTCACTTGCGGTTTGACGTGCTGCTCAGATGCTACAGCCTGTGCGTGTGTGTCCAGGGAACAGAAGCAGAGAAACGAAGCTGTCAGGCCGGCTGCACAGCTGGGCGCTTTAAACCAGGAGAAGCAGGAAAAGACCCTCCCTGTGTGTTGGGGGGGAGGGGGTTCTAACCCACCTCCATACTGTGCGCTGCAGTTCACAGCCTCAGAACACAGGAGGAGCAACACAGCTGCCACCAACAGCTGGTGACTCTCGTCCTGGCTGTCCTTGAGCCACCTCCCTCCCCAGCCTGGGCTCAGCAGAGGGGTGGGGGGCAGAGCCAGTGATCAAAGAGGGAAATCCTAGTCCTGGCTACTGTTGGGTAGGGCCACCCAGCTTCCAGGTCCTGTGCCCATCACTGCCGACTCCACTGGTCTCACCCCTCACAACAGGTCTGCCAGGGCGCATCGTTCTTTCTACCTCTTGGAGACAGAGGGGGGACTTGCAGATACTCGGCAATCGGCCCACGGGCAGCAAAGCTCAGATATGCCCACAGCTCTGTCTGACCCACAGCCTGTGGCACCACAGCCTGAAGGGCACAGAGGCTGGCCGCGGCTGCCTGGGACTGGATCCGGCTGGATCCGGCCGGGTGCTGGTGCCAGGGGAAGAAGTGTGCTCATCCACCCACCTCAGCTGGACCAATGCCTGAGACAGGGACACACACGCCTGCACACAGCGAGGACACGACAGAGAGAGGCTCCTCTCACCAAGCATCTGTGCAGGATGCTGGGCACACACTGGCACAGGGAGCCCTCTCAGGAGACAGGGCATCCTTGTCAGGTTCAGACCTGGGGGAGGCGTTCCCCACGTGACCCCTGGTGTGATGTTAGCTGTGTGATCTGTCCGGACGCCTTTGTCAGGCTCCGCTCCTGGTGGATGCTGGATGTTGGCCTGTGTCCAGCTCTTTTTCTCATTCATTGAGACAAGCAGGTTGTTTCTTCCCCATTTCGCTGATGGGATAAGTTACCTCAATATTTCAAATACAGAGTCACACTGGCATTTCTGCAGGGATCTCTAACTGGTCCTGAGCTACTGTCCTTTTTATGTGTTGTTGGATTCCATTTGCAGTGTTTTGTTGAGGGCTTTTAAGATATATTTTCTTATTTTTTAATTAAACTTTTGGTTTTGAGATGTAAAAAATAGTTACACTAAATTTACTGTGGTAATCATTTTGCAATACTTGCATGACACGTCACTGTGTGGTATACCTTCAACTTACACAGAGCTGTGTGCAAATTATATCTCAATAAAACTGGGAAAAAAGTAATCACGCACTCATACCCGCATCTAACCCCTGGCATACACACTGCACACAAACATACACGTGTATACCCAATGCACACTATAACCTACACATCCGTGTACACTCAGCTCATGCACACACACACGCCACATACACCTCCCACACTCATACTGTCACACACATACCACACACACTCAGACCACTCACACCACACATAAAACACATACACTACACACTCATACATATCACACACTGAACCCACACACAAATGTCACAATGCACACTCATGCCCAATACAGTTCTATACAACCACCCCCACACACATCACATCACACACTCAGACACCACACACACATGAAACATATACACACCATACACACTCAGACCACTCAAACCACACGTATATCACACACACTCACCACACACTGACAACACTTCATCAGGACACACACACAACATACATCACACAATCACCACAACGACCCACCACACCCTAACACTCTAAACACCACACACTGACACACCACACACCCACACTAAACACACACAAATTCACACATATACTCACAGGAAATACCCTTCTGTCTAGAACAGGGAGCCCAGCTCTTACCTCCTATGCAAGCAAAGAAAGCATCCTCACGCAGAATTTCCTTACAGGAATTTCCTACAAGCTGGAAGAGCAACAGATGTCAGGGTCAGGAGAGTGAATGGCAGGCCTGGTGAGAAGCCACCCCGTGCCCCTGCTCACACTTAGCCCACACTTACCGAGATAACAAAGTCATCGAAGGACTTGAATTCATCTTTCGCGTACTTTTGGCCACCTCTTAGTACAAGAGTCCTCAGCTACACGGGAGAGAAGGTGGATCAGGTCCAGAGGCAGGGCTGGAGGACACAGCACATCCCAATCCCAGGAGACAGGCCCTTGCCTCATGCCATGTCACACTCTAAGCCCAGACCCTGGCGCCTGCCATCAGCCCACCCAGAGTAGAAAGCTCTTCCACCCTCGCTTGTGGTGTGTAGGTTTTACACAACACTTGTTCATTTCTACCCTGGGAAAGCCAACTTGATAGGTTTCCCCAAACTAGGTTGCCCCTGGTTACCTGATCAGCATTACCTGGTCTGCAATATAGTCGTTGAACCCCACAGAGTAAACTGTGGCCCCCATATTCCGAGCCCTGTTAGCCTAAGAGAAAGAAGACTTTTAGTAAAGAATATCAAGACAAAGGAGCAAAAAGATAGTAAAGTGGGCAGGACTCACTTCGCTCTTGGTCTGCCGTAATATCTTTGACCGTATTGGTCCAGCGGTCAGAGCAATAATCAGGCTGGAGGCATTTTTGTCTACAAAGAAGAAGGGACTGGCCTGGTCAGCAAAGGCATCCAGCGTGACCCACCGCAGGCTGCCAGGGCCACAGCACTGCCCCCAACACCTCCTCCTCCTGGGGAAAGGCCACGCAGACCCCAGCACCCACCGTGCACAGTGCCTGGGGGACTCTGCATCCTACTCCTGGAGGGAGAAGCAGCTCAGCCCAGGACCCACTTTCCAGATGAGGAGATGGAGCCAGCTCAGGGCCCTACCTACTGAACTCTCACCACTGCCAGATGGCACAACCTTTGCCCTGACAGGTGACTCCAGCTGTTTCATTGGACAAGTGTCAGCATTTCGGGTGGGCAAAGTGAGGAACAGGGCCCGCAGGCACTGTGGAAGGCTGTGCTCCTGATCCGGGCAGCACCTGCCCACACTCCTGCTGGCACCTGCGTCCCCAGTGGTTCCCAATGTGGGTCAGAGGCGCTTGAGCAGCTCAAAGCCTTTCCCACCAGGCCCAAGCTTCTCTCCTGACAAGAGCTGTAACCCTACAGTCTAGACAGAGATAGTTCTGGCCCAGCACAGCCTTTTCCACTGTTGGAGACACAGTCCCAGGATGACAGTCAATCAAGGGAAGGAGCAGAAGGGAAAAGGAATCACAGCCAGAAATGGGATGGAGACAAAAGCGAGGTCGGCAAGGAGGAGAGCAAGCTCTTTTTTCCGAAAACTGAAGCCTGTCTGCTCTAGGGCCCCGGGCTGTTCCCTCCCTTCTCGTGCAGCCCAGGGGTAGGGCAAGAGCGCATGTTTACTAAGAACCAAGAATGTGCAAACATGATCCCGTGTATTCTGAGAAACATCACTGAGGGGGCTTTTATCCTCACTGCACGGAGTGGGAGCCTGCAGCTCAGAGAGGGCAAGCAACTTTCCCCAAAGGTCAGCGCTAGGAAGTGGCCGAGGTGGGTGTGCCAGGCCTCACTGAGGCCCAGGCCTGGCTCCGTCCCAGATGGACCTGCCCATGAGGAGTCAGCAGGCAGCTTACCTTTGGAGTACACTTGTTGGATCTGCTCATTGGCCTGCAACAACAGGAAGGAAGGTTGAGAGGCAGTGAGCTCGGCCAACAGCACTCTAGGAACTTGACAAGCAGAGCAAATCCCCAGAGCGCCAGCGGGCTGTACCTTTTTAAACCCCTCCTGCATGTTTGTGTCTCCTGAAGGCACCACATTCTTAAGCCGGTCAAGACCATCATGTATCTCATTTCTGAAGAAAATCAGAAAGGGGGTTGAGGCGGAATGGGGGGCTGACGGTTGAAAACCAGCCCCACGCTGTCCTGGCGCCATTCCGCCCTGTGCTGAGCGGCCTGGACAGCAGAGGACTCAGTCAAGTGGCCCTGTCATGGCCCGCCCACCCTGAGTCTTTGAAACCAACAGGGCTTCATGTCCCCCAACTGGAGACGTGAGGGGGGCAGTGGTTGTCTGGTCCCATGGGTACAGCTGGATTTCCATGGGCTCCCCCTGTCTCAGGCACGCAGACCTCAGGGGACCTCACCAAGGGCCCTGCCTTGACCATCCATGTGGGAGTGGGAGTATCCAGGATGTCCCTGTGACTGTGGCACACACAATGTGACTGGCAGGACCGCAAAGCACCCAAGGGCCCCTCGGCAGAGCATGCGGTCCTCCAACAGGTAAAGCTGAGTTTGGAGAAGGTCATCCATTTGATGCCCCCTGCTCCTATCGTCCCTGCCACAGACCCCCAAGGATGACTCAGTGCCTCCAAGCCTCTCCCCATTCTGTAGTTGGTGCTAAAGGAAGTAACAAAGCTGTTTAATTAGAGGGCTCAGCTCCTGGACCTCATGTGTCCTGAAGGAAAGGACCAAAGCTGGGGCAGTGGCCCTGAGGGCTGTCCAAGCAGGCGGAAATGCCATGGTCCCAGGCTGCCTTGGGGAGGTGGCCTGTCAGGCGCTGTTAATGCAGAAGCACAGGCTGGGACTGCGACACAGCAGGGGGTGGTCTTGGGTCCAGGTTTATCCGATGTGACAGGGCTGAGTGGGCACAGCAAGGCTCAGGAGACCGTGGCCCTGATGGCTGGCCTCTTGCTGAAGGCAGAAGAGATGCTGCCACGGGAGGAGAGCTGAGAGCCCCGGGTCCAGCCCTGCCCAGCCCAGCCCAGGACGTGAGGCAGCCTGGACCCATGGCCAGCGGAGGCCAACCCAGGCCCTGCCCAGCCCAGCACACACACCCGCCCCCCTCTCTGAACATCTAGAAGTCTTCTGTTTTGTCAGTAGCACCCCCAATATGCTGCAACTCTCAGCCTCCCAGCCTCCGGCCAGCACCCAGCTCAGCCAGGCTGTGCTCTCGCCCCCTCGAGCTCTCCCTGCTGCTGCCCCAGCAGCCCAAGTCACCCCCTGCTCCCAGCTCTGCTCCCAAGGGACCACAGGCTCCTAGCAACCTCGGCAAATGCCCCTCCTCTTAAAATATCACCCCCCTAAACTCACACGAGCTCACATCTTTTCTGCTCCCCTGAGCCCCACACCCATTCCTGACACCCCCCCATGGGGAAGACAGCCCCACCTTCGCTCACCAGAGATGACCTGGGAGGCCCTCCAGGAGCCTCACACAGCTTCTCATGGTCTGGGCCCCGAGCCCCTGCCCTGGGGGAGGCAGTGGTCTTCCTCTCCCCCAGGGACGCTCCTCCACCTGAGGTCCGTGCCCCGCCCCCGCTGCCTCTGTCTCTGCCACCTGCCAGAGTCCCTCCCCACGGACTTGCTTTCTTCCACCTCAAACCCACTCAGTCTCTCTCTCCCAAATAGGAACCACAGGCACACACAAAACCTCGCCTTCCCCTAGGCCATGGAGCCGCCAGCCCAGTCCCTGCTTCTCCTGGGAGTCAGACATGGGAGTCTGTGCCCATGCCCTGGGACCCCCACACGCCCTCCCCTGCAGCCTGGCTCTTCCTGCTCATTGTGTGGTGCTTGGCTTCTCTCCAAGGTCCTGAGCAGTGGCTCTGTCCCACAAATCCTGGGACCCATCAGTCCTAAATGTCCTCCCCCCGCTCTGGTGCTCCACCCACTCTGAGTTGGGTTCCAGTCATTTGTATCCATGGGAACTCGAACCTCCAAACTACTCAGAAGCCCAGGACTGCCTTCCTCCGGGCCTGTGGGCACCTGCTCAGCCCTCCTAGGATGCGGGCACGTCATGCCTCCCTCCTGCACCTCAGCCCAGCCTGCTACTCAGGCCCCAGCTCACGGGCTCCCCTGTCTCAGACCCACCAAGGGACCCAGCTCCCCCCCACTGAAACCCCCCCGACTTTGACGCTGCCCGTCCCTTCCTCCCTGCTTCTGACTGTCTTCCGCCTTCCTCCACTGGCCCAGGGCAGAGAGTGACACCCACAGCAGGTGCCCAACACAGGCCACTGTTCACGGCGGCCCAGAATGTTGGTTCCACCAGCTCCCAGGAGTCCTCCCAACCAGCCCGTTCTAAGGGTAGAGTGCCCAGGGAAGGACTCAGGAGGGTGGAGGGTGGGACTTATGGGGCGGAGATGGTCTAGAAGCACAGGGGTATAGCTAGTGCACCAGGGTTCCCCCCCTGAGGTCTCAGGGAAGCCCTCAGCTCCCTGGCTCTCCCTGCAGCCCCACCCACAGGGCCAGCCTTTGGATCAAAGCAGCACTTACCTGTCTGAGGTGAGGTTCATGAGGGTGTGGCCCTCTGTGGAGTAGGTGATGAACGATATCCGCAGTTTCGGGCTGGGGAGGAAGCACGTACTTGTGAGAAGCCATAAACACAGGCTCAAAATGAGGCTAATGTGGAGCCAGGGATGGGGTGCATGCCACCTTCCCTGTTGCCCACCCCAACTTTTCCCCTTTGGGACCATTATACAAACCCCCAGAGGTCCCAGTAACTTCAGTGAAGGATTCTGCGGCTTGTGGAGACATGCGGCCTTGTGGCAGAGAGTGCCCGGATGGCATTCTGCCCCATCCCTATACCCCCAACACCCTAAAACTCCCTCACTCTCAGACTCGCACACACAGGCATGCACACGGTGCACGTACAAGGACACAGACACCCACACACTCCTGCAGGACGGTCTCTCAACTGTCTAGCTTCTGCTGGGAAATTCTCTGGATCTTCACCACCTTCCTTCCTTGCCTGTCGCCCTGTCTCATCTCTACTCTCATCTCAAAGAATTTATTCTCTCTCATGACAGGTATCTATATAAACCACTCCCTTTCCTCTCCCTGTCCAGTATCTTCTGGTTCTCTGACCCTCATTATCTTTTAGCTAAATTGCTACACAGGTCCCTAGAGAGTTTCCTACCGTTCCTGGCTATTGTTCCAACTATTTTATCCACAATTATCAGACTTTTCTCCACGGAGGACAACCATGATCATGTCAGACCTCTGCTCAAAAATCATCTGTAGCTCCCTATTGCCTACAGCAGGAAATCCCAGCACCATGGCCTGGCATTTGGGGCCCTGATGACCCTGGCCCCAAGCTGTCCTGTCCAGTTTCATCTCCCTGCCCGCCCCTGAGTTAACCCTACCCTCCAGCCAGATCACTCTGTCCACAGGAAGTCTCCTTGATGGCTCCTGTTACGCAGTGCTTCCCCATCCTTCAAGACCTAGTTCAATTCCCACATCCTATGAGAAGCCACCATAGACTTTTTTCTCTAGGAGTTGTTGCTTCTTCCTTTAAGCTGCCTTATAAGTCCTTTGCCCTTTTCCTGTGGCTCTCAGCACTGTTTAACCAGGTGGTTCATTTCCGTCTTATTGGCTTATCTGTTTCCTAGTCAGTGAGGTCCTCAGGGACAAACTGTGTCCCCTGCAGTACAGCCTGAAACCCAGGAAGAAGCCAACCAAAGCTGCTGGACCCAGTGGAACCAGTGTGATCTGTGCTTCCTCCCTGCTTCTGAACACTGCCCTGCGCTCTGTGCTCCCGACCCAAGGGCCTGCGCTGCCAACTGAGGGTGAACAGCTGTGTACTCTGCCTGGCAGAGGAAAACACCAGCCATACTTTGGGTACGTCTTCACCACTTCTTCCACAAATTTGTAAACGTCCTCCCAGTGGTGCTTCACGCTGTCTGACCTGAAAACAAAGGAGATCTGAGTCTGAGGGAAGAGGCGTGTCCACCGAGTGGGCTGAGTGTCCTCCTCCCCACTGTCCAGCAGGCCCTTTAGCAAGCTCCTCCCCACTTCTCCATGTAGCTGAAGGCTACCACACACCCTCAGGGACTCAGTAGGCTGCTCTAGTGGTGACTTTCACCAGTGTAAGTGGTGGGCAGGGCGACTGACCAGACCCGTGTGCTTGGGGATGAGAAACCTTTGGTGGCAAACCCAGATGGTCGGTGACTTAGGTCGGGCTGTTAGACAAGGAATGATGGAGGACATGCTGGTTGTAAAAGCCTCCAGTGATTCTGATATGTTGGCTCTCGTGGTCCCCCACTTACAGACAGCCCAACAGGAGCCCTGGCCTTAGGCCAGGGAGGATGCACTACCCAGACTATTTTATTTCTCTTCTTTCTTATCATCCTGCAAAGCTGAGCCACTCTGAACATGGAAGGCCCTTGTGAGCACCACTGCCAGTGGAGGGGCCAGGCCCGGGCCACTGCTGTTCTGTGTCATCATGTTCTGCCCTGAGAAAATTTGCAGATCCTTCCTGTCCCTACTTTCATTTTCTCACTCCCATCAGCTCCCACTTTAGTCCCTGGATGGAGGGTGAGGAGGCTGAAGAGGGTTGGGGCCTTGGGGCTTCTTCTGTGCAGGTGGGAAGCACTTATGTGTGCCCTACCTGCCCAGGGCCAAAGGTCTTTGCAACCCCACATCTCTGTAGGTCCACACTATTCAAGGTCATGGAGGGCAACCTAGGGCTCAATGAGTAAGTGAGAGCGGTGGCAGTTGTGGCCTTGATCGGTGGCCCAGTTCCAAGTTCTCCTTGAACCAGGAGAGTGACGTAGACCTTACTTACAAATGGTTGTGCACGTCTGTTGTAACCTGGCTGAGCGCAATTCGTATATTCAAAAGCAGCTGTGAGCACAGATAAATTTAGAGTCACACAGGTGGCCAGGCCAGAAGCACACTCAGAAAAATCCTAAGACGACCCAAGCTTTCCCTTGGGGGTGAACCTTAGGTCCAGAACAAGCTGGCTAAGTGATACAGAAACGCTCAGCAAATAACCATTCTGCAAAGGTTGAGAGAGGTGGCTGCTCTCCCTGTATGTGTGATTTTTTAAATTTCTGTGGTGGTTTTATGTTTGTTTCAACTCCTGGCATTCAAGAAATTCTCTGTGAAAACATTAGCTGAATATGAGCTAAAGGAATAGAAACTCCACTGATCACACACAACAAGGAATATTCTTTGCAAAACAAGTTCAGAAAAGTTTTGAAATAAACGGAATTCTACACACTTCTACAATAACAAACAAAAGAAAAACACCCCAGTAACTCCTTGGGAATTCAAAATTTCTACAGCTACCACATTAGAAGAATAATAACCCAATTTGCAACAAAAAAAATTACAAAACATACAAAGAAATGGGAGAACATGGCTCAAACAAAGGAACTAACTTAGGAGCCAAAGACTTAGGGCAACTATCTTAAATATACTCAGAGGTAAGGGAAAATAAGGGCAAAGAAACAAAGGAAAGCAGGAAAACAACATGTGAACAAAGAGATATAAATTATTAAAAACCAAAGAAATTCAATAAAGTTCAACAACTGAATTGAAAAGTTTATCAGAGTAGTTCAATAGCAGGTTTCTGCAAGCAGAACAAAGAATCAACAAAGTTGATGATAGAACAAGTGAAATTATGGAGTGTCAGGAGCAGAAAGACAAAAGAATGAAGAAAGTAATCAGAGTCTAAGGGACTGTGCAATACTTTTAAGCAGACCAATATATACATAGTAGGAATCCTAGAAGGAGATGCAAGAAAGGAGCAGAAACATCATTTGAGGAAATAGCCAGAAATTTTCCACATTTTGATGAAATACATGAATCGATAAATCCAAGAATCTCAACTTATTCCAAGTGCAATAAACTAAAGAGACCCACACCAAGACACCTTATCAAACTATTGAAAGGCAACGGCAAAGTGAGAATCTTGAGCAGGCAAGAGAAAAGACACTTGTGACATACAAGCAGTCCTCAGTAAGATGACTTCTCATCAGAAACCTTGGAGGCCAGAAGCTGGTAAAGGATATATTTAAAGTACTGACAGAAAAACAAGTCAAGTGAGAATGCAACACTGCAAAATTGTCCATCATAAGTGAGGGAGAAACTAAAATATTCACAAATAAATAAAAGCAGAGGGAGTTCATTTCCACTGGATTTTCCTTATAAGAAATGATACAGGGAGTCCTTCCAGTTAAAACAGGACACAAGACAATAACTTGAAGCCATATGAACAAGAAAATGTTTCTGATAAAGATCAATAAGAACAAATAGAAAAGCTGGCATTCTTAAAATCTTCGTTCCTAACCGAATATTTTATTCTCTACAGAATTTAATATAAACGCATTAAAGTCATAAATCTACGTTATTGGACACACCGTGTAAAGGTGTAATTTGGGACATTGATAACAAAAAAGGGGGTTTGCAGCAGTTCAGGAGTAGAGTTTTTGTATGAGATAGAAATTAAGATGGCATCAATTCTACTTAGATTGTTATAACTTTAGCAGTTACATTTAATGTTCATGTAACCATAAAGAAAATATATATAATAGGTTATACACAAAGGAAATAAGAGAGTTAAAACCTGTCATTATAAACAAATCAGGTAAAGGCATAAGTAGGCAGAAATGAAGAAAATAAAAACCAAAAAACCTAGAAGACATACAGGAAGAAATAGAAAAATGGCAGAAGTCTTTCCATATAGTATTTACTTATTTATTTACCTATTTACGTATTTAATTCAGGTCACATTGGTTTATAATATTATACAAATTTCAAGTGTACATCATTATATTTCAACTTCTGGTATAGACTGCATCATGTTCACCATCAAAACTCTAGTTTCCATCCATCACCATACACATATGCCCCTTTACCTCTTTCGCCCTACCTCTACCTCCTTCCCATCTGGTAGCCACCAATCTGTTCTCCATATCTATGTGTTTATTTTCCACAGATGAAGGAAGTCCCACATTAATTGCCTTTTATCTGTCTGACGTATTTGACTTAGCATAATATCCTCAAGGTCCATCTATGTTGTTGCAAATGACACAATTTCATCTTTTTTATGGCTGAGTAGTATTCCATTGTATATATATACACACCACATCTTTTTTACCCATTCATCCATTGATGAGCACCTAGGTTACTTGTGAGTCTTGGTGATTGTGAATAATACTGCAATGAACATATATCTTTTCAAATTAGTGTTTTAATCTTCTTTGGATAAATACATAGAAGTGGAATAGGTGGATCATATAGTAGTTCTATTTTTATTTTCCTGAGAAATCTCCATAGTGGCTGTACCAATTTACATTCCCACCAGCAGTGTGTATGATGTATGAGGGTTCCTTTTTCTCCAGATCCTCTCCAACACTTGTTATTTCTTGTCTTGTTAATTATAGCTATTCTGAAGGGTTTGAGGTGCTTTCTCATTGGAGCTCTGATTTGCATTTTCCAAATAATTAGTGATGTTGAACATCTTTCTAAGTGCCTCTTGGCCATCTGTATATCTTCTTCAGAAAAATGTCTGTTCAAATCCCCTGCCCATTTTTGTATTGGGTTGTCAGTTTTTGTTGTTGTTGAGTCGTATGAGTTCTTTATATATTTTGGATATTAACCCTTATTGGTACATGATTAGCAAATATTTTATCCCGGTTGGTGGGCTGTCTTTTCATTTTGTTGATGGTTTCCTCTGCTGTGTAAAAGCTTTTTTAGTTTGATGTAGCTCCATTTGTTTAGTTTTTCTTTTGTTTCCCCTGCTGGAGGAGACATGATATTCAAAAAGATACTGCTAAGATCAATGTCAAAGAGCATACTACCTATGTTGTCTTCTAGGAGTTTTATGGTTTCAGGTCTTACATTCAAGTTTTTAATCCATTTTGAGTTAACTTTTGTATATAGTGTAAGATAATGATCCACTTTCATTCTTTTGCATGTGGCTGTTCAGTTTTCCCAACACCATTTATTGAAGAGAATTGCCTTTCTCCATTGTACATTCTTGGCTCCTTTGTTGAAAATTAGCTGTCCATAGATGTGTGGGTTCATTTCTGGGCTCTCAATTCTGTTCCATTGATCTATGTGTCTGTTTTTGTGCCAGTAACATGCTGTTTTGGTTCCTCTAGCTTTGTAGTTTGTTTTGAAATCAGAGTGTGATCGCTCTAACTTTATTTTTTTTTCTCAGGATTGCTTTGGCTATTTGAAATCTTTTGTTATTTTATATAAATTTTGGGATTCTTTGTTCTAATTCCATGAAAAATGTCATTGGGATTCTGATTGGGATTGCATTTTACCTGTAGATTGCTTTAGGTAATATGGACATTTTAACTAGGTTAATTCTTCCAATTCGTGAGCATGGAATATATTTCTATTCCTTTATGGCTTCAATTTCTTTCAATGATGTCTCATTGTTTTCAGTGTACAAGTCTTTCACCTCCTTGGTTAAGTTTATACCTAGGTATTTTATTCTTTTTGTTGCAATTGTAACTGGCATTGTATTCTTGATTTCTTTTTCTGTTAGTTCCTTGTTAGTGTATAGAAATGCAACTGATTTTTGTATGTTGATTTTGTACCATACAACCGTACTGTACTTTTAAATTTTTTAATAGGGTTTTTGTGGATTCTGTGGTGTTTTATAAACACCAAAATCATGTCATCTGCAAATAGAGTTTTACTCCTTCTTTTCCAATTTGGATACATTTATTTCTTTTTCTTTCCTAATTGCTTTGGCTAGTACTTCCAATACCATGTTGAATAAGAGTAGTGAGGGCGAGCATCCTTGTCTTCCTCCTGCTCTTAGAGGAATAGCTTTCAGTTTTTCACCATTGAGTATGATGCTGGCTGTGCATTTGTCACGTGTGGCCTTCATTATGTTGAGGCACTTTCCTTCTATACCCATTTTATCCAGAGTTTTTATTGTAA